GCTTTCAAAAAAAAAAAAAAATTAATTAGGCCCAAGCCCACACTTACATGGGCCAAGATGCAGGAGTAACAAATTGGGCTCGAGATCGATGATTTGACCAGGCCCACACCGACATTGAAATTTGTCATTCGATGATTTGAAACCCTAAGCAACCCGAAAAGCTGGCGCCAATTCCCATATAAAATGCTTCAAACACTTTCGACTGCCAATCACGTCTGTCCGATCGTTCGTTCTAAAGTTGTGTCACTGTTCATTTCTTGTTCAGGGCTTTTCTTAAACCCTAGAGTCTTCTACTTGCAGTGTCGATGGAGTTTTGGGGTAACCTAATGTTCTTTTCCTCCTCCTTAGCTTTATCGTTAATCATGTTTCTCCACTCTTCACTTTTGCTGCCGTCTGTTCAATATATATGTTTTTCGGATTGCTTCGTTTATTGTTTGTTCTTTTTGCTTTTGTTCTCTCAATCTCTTTAGCTTGTTTTTATTGTATTATACTAGCGAGTTGTTACCAGTTCTCGTAGTATTTGGATTGCTTATAGTCATCACGATTTTTTTTTTCTTTTTTTGTGACATGATGAACTAAGAACATTCGTTATATAATTGGTATTGTAGGTGTTGAAGTTAAGCCTGGTCAGTCACTCGTTGTGAAGCCTGGAATTCAGCAATACCTGCATCTATCACAGGTAGGGGCTGTTCTTATTATTGCTATTATCATTTTCCCAGTTGAACCACCTGGTTTGGTGTAAGGTCTTCTCACGTAGCACATTTGATGAAATGCTTTTATTCAGGCGACTCTAGGTGAAATAAAGAAGGACAAAGCAAATGAAAACGTGACTATCTTCTTGAAGATTGGTGGCCAAAAGCTTGTTCTTGGCATTCTCTCCGCAGAGAAGTTTCCCCAGCTATCATTTGATCTTGTGTTTGAGAAGGAATTTGAGCTCTCCCATAATGGGAAGGGTGGAAGTGTTTACTGTGCTGGATACCAGGCTTATGCCGAGGATCAAGATCCATATCCTTTCTTCCTTTTTGAGGATTTATATTTCCCCTTGCATTAACGATAATAAGCTTATGAATAATTTGAAGATTATATTTGTTAGCTTCTAATGGCTGGCCTTCAAAGTTTATAGTATTTCGTATAGGTGATCAAAAGACTTGATGTATGCATATTTTTATTAATTAGCTTAATTAGAATTTTTGAAGCTGAATGCTACTTTATATGATGGGATTGAATTGTTTTTTTCCTTGACCACTTCCTGTTCTCTCTTTTCCACTGGCGATTATTTTGGTAAGTTGTTTCACATTCATAAGATCTTTTACCTCGACACATGTCGATTGAGGAAAATTAACTTAGAGCGTGTTGTATCTATTCAGATTCTGATTCTGGCTCGGAGGATGAAGAACTTGAATTACCCCTTGCTCAAAACGGTAAATGCAAGCCACTACGAAAACGTTGGTGTTTTTTTTTTTTGGAAATATACTCAAGACTCTGTACGCATTATCTCATGATGACTCTCTATCAGGGAAAGCTACCCAGAAGGAGAAGGCTATTGCCGATAAAAGTAATGCTGCAAAGGCTCTGTCTTTAAAGAAGTCAGATGCAAAGCCTTCGAAACCAAGCAAGGATGAAGATGACTCTGAGGATAATGATGAGTCTGACGAAGATGAAGATTTTGATGATGAATCAGACGAGGTAGTATAAAATAGATACTTTCAATTGTGTTTGTATTCAAATTATTTTGTTTGCTATGGATTTTATCTATCTTCTGAAAATGTATGAATTCTTTGCCAAATTCAAAAGACTTGAAACAAGATTTTGAAAGCTAGATAAGAAAACAGGAAATCCACCGGTAGAACTAATATTTATAATCTTCTTTGTAAAAAACCAAAAATCAAATAGTTGGAAAATGTTGGTGAGTTCTTCCATGCATCAACTGAATATAAGTTATTCCGTCATGGGTGGCATTTATCGAACTGAAAGCCCTAGATTATTGTTAATACCATTGTTGGTTCTCCTCCACATTTAACTTTGCCTATTTCCTTTTTTCATGTGAAGTAATCAGGAGGTGAGATTCTACATTTTCTTTTGTTGTATATTTTTCCCCCTTCTCGTGTCCTGTTCTGAAATGGCCTTCCAACTCATATTTACATACAAGCATTGAATGTATGTTTTTTTTTTTTTAATGAAACATTTGCAAAACACTAAAAATTTGGTTCACTGAAGTTTTATATTCAAAATCACGTGGGCAATACTCTTGATCTGGAGTGTATGCATCATAGTCTACGGTGACTATTTCAGTTTTCAATTATTTCTGTGATTTGGCTTGGACATTTACATTGTGATAATCGGCAGGAAATGCTCAATGCTGACAGTAGCGACTCCGATGATGTAGATGATGACACTGAAAGTGACGAGGAGACACCGAAGAAGGTGCTTGTGATCATAGTAACGTTGTCACCTTTTTTATCATATGTAGCATCATATTGATTACCTCTTATCCTTGTAGGTTGAAGCAACCAAGAAGAGGCCAAATGAGTCTGCCTCCAAGACGACTCCCCTCCCTGCTAAGAAAGCAAAGTTAGCTTCGCCTGAAAAGACTGGTAATTCTTTCGACTATTTAAGACAAATATTTCACTATTTTGTTTTTTTATAAAGATAAACAGACGTACATTTGGTAACCTTTTCTTATTTCTTGTTCATTCTTCTTTATAGAAAAAAAAAAACAAAACAGACACATGTTAGGTAATCTTATCTTGTTTATTGTCTCTGAAGTTTTCAAATTAAATATGCAAAATTTTTACTTGAAAATTACTTTTTAAAATTAAAAATCCAACATTTTTATGTTAAATTTACTTGTAGATAGTTATTGTGCATTTCTGAAAATTAGTTGCAGGAAGCAAGAGTACGGTTACTGACACTTCTGTCTCTCAAAAGCTGAAAACAACAAACATGAACATTACCAAATGACTCCTTATTTACTCCATACTCTTGCATTTTGGCAAAAGCATTGTTTCAAGAATGTCCGGAGTCTTTTTAAAGCTTTTATAGAATTGCCAATTATAGCTAACGCTCGTCTCTTCCTCTATCAACTGATCATAATGTTGTCTATATTCTGAAATTGTTGGTTGTGTATTGCCAGATTCAAAGAAGGGGGGCCATACTGCCACTCCCCACCCAACCAAGAAGAACGCTAAAACTCCTGCCAAATCAGAGACCCCAAAATCTGGTGGGCAGTTCTCTTGCAAATCCTGCGACAGGTATGTTTTTGTTTTTGTAAACGAAAGATTACTTGCTGAAAATGGAAGGGTGTACTTATGATTCTGACATAATGTCCTCCGTTTCGTTTGTTTTAGGTCATTTGGTTCTGATGGTGCGCTTCAGTCGCACAGTAAGGCTAAGCACGGGGGTAAGTAAAAGGAACACTGCCATATTTTTTTTCTGCAGCTTCTTCAGTATGTTGCTTTCTAAATAGATTAGAGTCTCGGCTGAAATTTTGTGGTGGGATGGGATTATAGGACGAGAAATGAATGTGTTGAGTTTGAGGAAGATGAATTTAATTTGATAAATGTATGTTTTCTTGTTTTATTGTTGTACTTATTATCATTATTATTCCGAAAAATGTGATAGGCTGGTTTCCACTGCTTGCATTTTATCTCGAATCCTCTTTTTTATTTTCGTCCCCATCATTCAAAGAAAGTTCGATTTTAGTTTTTATATAGTTCACGAACCATATACATAATTCCCCAATAGTTCGAAGAAAGTTAAGAATTTAGTTTATATGGTTTTAAAAGTTAGTATTTCATATGAACAGATTTGATCAAGGTAGTTGAGATTTGATTAAGGTAGTTGAGGTGGTACAATTATATTGTCCTATTCTATCCTTTTTCACTCAAATGGACCATGCTTTGGCGTCCGCCTTTGTCGGCGCTGATCCCTCTCTCTTCATAGGCTTCTGCCGACACTGTACCGTTGAAATATCCCACGTGTTAAATTAAAAATAAAAATATAATATAAGTGTCCATAACCCAAGGTTTAATCTTCATTTAAATTATTTATTTCACTCCCAAATAACCATAGGGTAGTTTAAAATTAGTTATTTCATTCCCACCGACACTACAAAGTCAAAAGTATAAGCTGTAACAAAATTATAATTATTTAACTTAGGAGAGATGGAATCCAAATATAATATAAAGTCATAATTTATATTATCTAATTCACTAATCATTGACTAAAGGGTAAAAGGAATCTAATATTTTAATCTTAACTTTCAAATAGTAAAGAAAGACCTGATTATATTAGCCAATTGAACAAAAGATTAAATGTTTGATATTTTTAATTTTTTAAAATATATTTATCTTGTTTTTAACATGGATCCAAGTTGTTCCAATACATATTTTATTTGTAAAAAGATATTATATAAATAAAATTTCACCATAAATAAAAAAATTAAAAAAAAAAAAAGTATCCAAATTTCAAACATGATGATACTCTTGCATGACGCTAACAATCAATAGGGGAAAAAAAATACAAAAAGAAAAGTGAAAATTGATTTTGTCCCCTAAAATGCATTGTCCTAAAACATTTTCCCCTGAAAAATAAAAATAAAAATTAAAAAAAGGAAACAAATTGACCAACAACCCCAGAAAATTACAAAAAAAAAAAAAAAAAAAAAAATTTTTT